CAACCATTTGTAATTTAATATATGCATTTCATGTGTTAACACAGCTGTTTTGAACCAGCAGGTTTGTATTTCACACTAATTTTTTTGTGATTTTTCCTGGAAGCTGATCAACGTCGTGACGTTATTTCTTTGTGGCAGAATGTGATGTAAAGGATAAACAAAAAGAAGAGTATTTAGCATGTAGGGGAAGAAAGTGAAGAGGAGAGAGATAGAGAATGTAAATTAGACACACCGTAGTGATAAAGAACTCTTCCGCTGAATAATGCCCAAGATGTATTCTGAAACGGACTGCCTTGATGCTGCGAGGCTGAATAAAACAGTTTCTGAAGGCTCAGCGTCTCACTGGTGAAGCCATCTCCACCCCTCAAGTTCCCATACACCATCATGTTGTATAGAAAATACAACATGGAGCCGACTCCAGGGCTGATTCTTCTTGTGCGTTATTCATGAGCTGTATGTTTTTATAGTTGTGTTTATTGATGTAGGCGCTTGAATTATGCTACGGCATAATGCTGCAGTTTGCTAAAAAAAAAAAGAAAAAAAGTTGGAGTATGGATGGGCTGCAACAGACAGGAAGAGAGAGTGAGAAGAGAAGAAAATAGAGACGCTCCATTTCCACCCAATGAGCAGCATTAGAGCTGAACCATGTTTACACAGCCCTTCTCCTCGCTCCATCTCTCTCTCTCTCTCTCTCTTTTTTTTTCCCATCTGCCCATCACATTTACTGCATTAGTTGGGAGTCTGTGTGCCACATTACTACATGTTATTTATTAGCCTCCTTTCATCTGTTTCCAGTGCAGAAACTACTGTACTCATCTGCAGAGCCATCACTCAATCCCACTGCCTGCTGGGCACGTCTCCTCTCCGTAAACGTGTCATTAATTCATTTGGGGGCTCACTGCACTCAGGGAGGGTTTACCTGTTCCTCCTCTAGGGCATCCTTTGAGCTGCGTTGGATTTTGTAGGAGTGAGGCCAAGCTTCACTAGCTTCAAATGACTCAAAGCTAAGCTGTGTGTCATCTTGGAGATCTGGACTCGGTTAATATGCGAAATGAGCATTTTTTTCGGGTTTCTTGAATGAACACTTGCACAACGACGGCCCGTGCTGAATATTTAAACGCTGATTGTCTTTAAAAATCAAGTGACCTCAGCATATCCGCACATCCCGAGAGGTGCCGCCATCCCAAGGAGAAAGAGCGAGACGAAGGAGACAAGGAAAGAGGCATGCTATTTATAGAGGCTGTCACAATGCAGGCTGGGAGATGCCTGCTAATGTTGCATGTGACTGTAATTGCTGGAGACAGCACTGTCGTAGTAACACGCGGTGCCATGCCGCCGCAGAGGCAACAAGCTGCTTCAGGTCAAGGCTATGCGGCCCAGGAGCGGATGTGCATCTATAGTGCCGGAAAACATCAAAGTTACATCGGGAAAGCTGGGGAGATGCAAGGAAAAACCCTTGGAGACACACAGAGAATTAATTAAAGGGAAGTAAATGCGCCCGATGCAGTGTCAGCCTGTATAGCAAGGACATACAGCCGTGAGAGAGGGTGAGAAAGCCTCAAGAGACAGAGAGGAAAAACTGTCACTCTCTGGAACATAAATACATGCTTAGATACAAGCCTGGACATTCGGATCAGAGCGGGAAAAAGACAGGGAGTGCTTGAGAGCAGGCGAGAGAGGAATTAAACAAGCGGCGGATGGTCAGATGAGGAATGAGGATGCCACAGAGGTGGCTGAGCCGTCGACAGGATCAGGCAGTGATGAAGTGATGGAGGAAAGGGGTAGGAGAAGGAGAATAATGGATGAGGACAATAGAAGTGCATTAGTGGAGGTGTGTGCCGAGACTGTTGAGAGAGAGAGAGAGAGAGAGAGAGAGAGAGAGAGAGAGAGAGAGAGAGAGAGAGAGAACCGCAGAGGGTCGAACCGTGTTAGTGAGGTGACAGCCTCCCCCACCTCTCTCCCTCATTATCAACCTCTCCGTCCATCTTTCTCTCGTTTTCCACCTCCCCTTTAACTACCTCTGTGCCAGCACCAGGGCTGTGTGCCCATTCAGAATTGAATTGAGAATACATTTTAATTGCTGAATTGGAATTGAAGTAGCGAACGGGATGCAAAGACACTTCAAAGTCCCTTTCGGAGAAAAGTCAGTTCATTCGGTGGCCATATTTGGAACGCCTCCGGGCAGCTATTTCAGGCGTATAAAACCAACTCCTGTCTACAGTGCTTGAATGGGGAAACAGCAAAATCTCAAACTAGTGCCAAACTCACATTTAAATAACATATTTCAAATAAGCAATAAAACCTTGACACAGACTGTCCCATAAATGTAGCTTCTTATGCTCAAATAGCATAAAAAAAGCATATATTTCAAGTTGGTCCAATGGAATGGGGAAAAAGAACAGATGGTTTCAAGACGTTGTTTTTTTAAAAGACACAATACGTGAGCACGTCTAATGCCTGCTACAGACTGTGCGATTACTGCAATCCTATAAGATCATTATAGATCACACTGTACGACATGGATCTAATAAACTTGGTTACGACATGTATGTAGACTGTACGATGATGATGACAACGTTAGTATAGAAGAATAAAACGTCATCAGCATGCGCTAGTGGTGAACAAATAGAGCAAGATGAATCGCACTGTGGCAATTGTGGTTTTTATGTGCGCTGAAAAAAGAGGAGGAAGCGAAAGAGGAGAATATGGAAGCGGTCATGTCTAGGGAAAAGAGGCCAACTTTGCATGCAAACTTTGCAAATGGAGCTTGAGGAAAGTAGTTTTGAGTTTTAGCGCATGTCGCGTTGATCAATACGCCATTTCATGTTGCATTATTATTGGCTAGTCAGTAGATGTAGGTCGTACACGGTGAGACGATCATCCTATATTACTGACACTGTCAGAAAATTATTTTTAGGCTATCTTTGGTCGCAAGACCGTGACAACGGCCGTCTTTGGACCTCTCTCACTGTTCGACGTAGAACCACCGTTTAGGAGCCACGATTGGCCATCTTTCGTCTGGGACAGACCAAAATCGTACAATTTGTACCAGGCATAAGACATCTGTCTAGTGCATGTTTACATAGAAAAACAATGGAAAAGCAACACAGAGGAATACAAAAACGCATTGTGTGTGAATGGCCCCTTTTCCCACCATATGGGGTTCCACTTTCTTCCATTCGTAGTAATATGAGTGAACCGTTTTGGTATATATACACTCTTTGATTGCAATTCGAGGTTGACTGCAAGGAAGTAAAATCTAAGAAATTGTCATTTTTAACTAGGAAAGCAAAGTTGTCAAAGCCTTGTTTGAATAGTTTTATGGTTTTATATGCCTATAAATAGATCTACTGAAGTATTTATTTTTAATAATTTTTAATAAATTTGCTTTTGCAGACCAGGGTAGAAGGACACTTCTTTTCTCAGAATGTGCAAATGTGTTGATTTTATTAGAATCATTATTCTATCATTATTCTGTCCTTCCGATTCAAATTCTGCTTTCTGTCAGGTGAGGGTAGTTCAATTACAATTACAATTGATTCATTGATTTGAAACCAATTCTTTAATTCTGAATTTAGTGCAAACCTAACTAGCACACCAACCCAGCCATTCCCATGCCTTGAGCTCACATCATTTTTGCAACAAGATAGAGTATGCATGCGCTCTGCTTTAATTACAATAGTCATTTAGGCGAGAGTGCTTAATCATTTAGTTAAAGCACTTGCCATTCGGTCTCAGCTTTCACAAACATGTTGGGTGTCTCTCAATCTTCCCACAGCAGTTCACTTATTATCTCCTCTTCCTCATTCCTCCATCTCTCTCGCAGTCTCTCTCTCTCTCTCTCTCTCTCTCTCCCAATGCGGGTAACTGTCGTTTATCCAGGATCTCATCCAGGGGGAATATAAACTACCTGTCAGCGAGCATCTTTCTGCCAAATTCATATCTGAAAGGAAAACAAAAGCGGGCCGAGGTCAGAGAGATCTTTTTTAAATTATTCATAAGCAGCTCTCTCTTGGCCACCGTCTTCAGCTCCTGTCGCATGCTTTGTACCGCCCGCACTGCCAACAAGGGCATCTGTCATGCCTTTAAAATAAAGGGGAGGCAATGAAGAGGGGAAACAACCAGATTTTTGAAACATTATTGATTTACATTGACACTCTTTATGTTTTGCTTTCATTTGTCCTTTCTACCTGTCTGAAGAGGACCGCTGTGTTTTTTTCTTTTCATTTCCACCATTGGGAGTCATAAAGGGCCATGAATGTTTAATTTTTAAAGGTCTCTATTGGCCCATATTTGTGCTTTTATTTATAGTCTGCATAATTGATTCACATCATCTTAGTCATTTGCAGCATGGCTTTTGGGGTCTAGTGTTCACCTGCCTTCTGAATATGATCAATTAGAGTCAAAGACTGTAAAAAAAAATATGGATGTAGTGTCCGTGACGTCACCCGTAGGTTTCTGAAGAGCATTTTGAAGCCCAAAGTGGGGGCGGAGCCGGCCGTCGCCATCTTGGCAGCGCGTCACTCCCGGATAAATGAAAATGAGCAACGAGTCGGGATTAGCTGAGGTGACGTGACGCTAACAGACAAACGGCTAGTAATGACAGCAGCGGCAATCCACCTGTCACTCAAGTGGCCATGCCCTTAATTATGCAGAACTTTAAGGCTTAATATAATTTAAATGGATGAGTAAAAAAAAATGTAACTCCCTCACAGTTGTCATGAAGGGCAAAATTAGCTATATAGACCAAAACCAATTTTTGCACCAGGCTGTAAACATATTTTTTCTGCTGGGCTTCTATGGGATTGACTCTCTTTTGGAGCCCGTCTCTAGTGGCCAGTCGATGAATTGCAGTTTAAGTCACTTCCGTGTTGGTTTCAAGAGAGAGAGACAGGAAGGTTGCCGCTTGTTTAGAATAAAATTACATTAAATTCTCTCTGTTTCTTGCACTCTTTTTTTCCCCATACTTCTCTCTTTTTCCCTTCTTTACTCTCGCTCAGAAGCAGCTGGCCACATTGGGTTTGGTAGGCGCGTGGAAAGAGATGTCAGCTGATTTCTCCACTGCATCAACCATGGGACGGGGGAAGCTCCACTTGGGAGCCGTGCTGCACTGGACGTCCCTTGAACTGGCCCCTGAATCTGGCAGCATCGACGGTATGCATGAGGATGAGGACGTGGAGAAGCCAAAAACCTTCTATGCGGATCATTCCTTCATTATACTAGTCAGGGACAACAGCAGTGGTGCATTGCTCATGATAGGTGCTCTGGACCACACTGACAGCCCTGCAATTCACGACGAGCTGTAGAGCCAAAATACTTCACCTTCTGCTACTGACAGTCCGCTGAAGAGCCAAAATGGCTGACCTACAGGTATTGACAATAAACTGACCCACTTATCCACTGCAAATCCACTGTCTTTCATCTGTTGTTCTTGTGTTATGTGCTGACGCGTTACATTTCACTTGTTTTACAGATATGAAAGAGCTTAGAATAGGTTGTAATTAAACTGATGTGTAGGAGAGCACAGAATCTGCGCCCACAGAATTATACCTCGGGTTTCTACAGAATTTGAAAGTCTTTTGTACAAGTTCTATGCATCTCTTCAACTTGTAATTTTGTTTATTAAATATTTGGGCTTATTTGAGAAAGCTTTCAGCTGCCATTATGAGTGAAGTAGTCACAGATCTGTTAAAAGAGGGGCAAGAGATTTTAAATGTATAAAAATCTGGATTTTAATTGTGCATGTGGACTTCTGTATATTTTTTCTTTCATCTAGCATTCACTTATACTTTAATTTTATAATACTGTTGAATATATATTTTTAATCAGATCTTTAGATAATGAATCTATACTTTTAACTATTAGTAATTGCCTAAAATAGTTTTTTTATGTTTTATTTTTTACATTTTTGCATACATTTGTTTTAATCTGAAATATATTTTATTTTCAGCTATAACATTAAAATAATTATCTGCTTATCAACATCGACAAAAAGTGCAATTGCACAAACTGAATGTTTAAAAAAGGCATTGTTTATTATGCAGTTTTTTTCTATATGCAGTCAAGGAATTATTCAAGCTATCAAACAACAAAAAGACAGACTTGATTGTGAAACATCAACTATAAACAAAGTATCTTCTAGCCTATTTTGTGTGTGTTCCTCAACAATGATGTTTGATTTCGGTCTTGGTCAAATTGAATGGAATTAAATTGAATTTAAAGGGCCCCTATTATGCTATTTTAAAGTTTCCTAATGATGTTTTGGAGTCTCCTACAACAGGTTTACATGCAACAAAGGTAAAAAAAAACCTTTTAATCTCAATCCGTTTCATTTCCTCATAATATACATTTGCACATCACCACATTTTCATTGATTCTCAAACGACTCGTCAGATCAATCAATCTCTCTAAATCCCTCCTTTCTGCAAGCTACTCTGCTCTGATTGGCCAGACAGCTCAGTCTGTTGTGATTGGTCATACTGCATACAGCGCGCGTGTCGAAAACAAAAAAACGGCCATTGCCATAACAACGTCGATTTTACCATATCAATCCGAGCGCGAGTCCAATGATGAAGCATTGGACGAACTATTCGTTAAACCCAAACCTCAATCGCAAGGACGTTTCTCAGTGATACGCTACTTAGTTTGAGGTATATTATGAGATGTTGCAACTGTAATTCCTCACCATCAGCATTAACAAAAGCATGTCCATCAGCAAACTGATTATTTTACCTGTACTAATTTATTTACAGAGTATTTTTCTAATATATTGAGGTGAACACGTGGAAACTGTATCAATAACAGTGCATGTATGCAATGTATACATTAGCCGAGCTCTAGCATGAATGACTGATGTAACATAAACGTTGGTAAAACAAATCTTGCTCCATGCTTAATCTTTCCTCAAAGTAGTGAGAATGACAGACAATCTGCATTAATACTGTGTCAGTTATAGGTAATAGTGGCCCACAGCTGATCAGCAGAAGTATTTCAGTAAGACAGTAATAATGGGAGTTAGCCAGTTAGCAGGAGACCGACACAATATAAAACTCAAAACTAAGTATTTTGAACACCATCTTTCAAGAGCAAGCGGTTTGCGAATCCGGCATTTAACTCCAAGATTTGAGAAGCAGTCGTCAGTAAAATAAAGGGAACACAGCAAAAGTTTAGGATTATACTGCTGTGGTATTGTGGTAAAGATGAATTTTAACCACTGATTCTAGGGATGCACCGATCCACATTTTTTCACTTCCGTTCCGATCCCGATACCTGAATTTGGATATCGGCCGATATCGATTCTATTCCGATACCAGAGCTGTGTTTGCTTTAATATTATTATTATTATTATCATTATTGTTGATTGTATATGATGTTGAAATAAACTCCTATCAACAGGCAAGTATGATATGCATGTATGTCCCAAAAGGCAACTTTAGGTAAGTATAAGGTCAGAAAAGTAAGTCAGAAAAACAGGAAATCCTGTTCCAGGAAAAAATCCCATTCTGAAAACAAATATGCAACTGTAAGGGTTTCAAATTAATTGTCATGTCAATATTTATTACATTCACAAAATGTCAAATACTTGAGTCTTGAAATATAAGAAGTGCAAGTGTAAACATCTTACACACACACTATCAATAAAACAGTGTGCATCTGAACAGCACAAATCAAGTACACTGGCTCTTGTAGCATCAACAAATCAAGGTTTTAAAATGTCAAATATAAGAAATTTTCGGATGCGTTTTTTCGTATTCGTGATTCGGTGGCTCTGAATTGTCAAAACACCATTCAAACTGCTTGCTACGGATGCGGAAAACGCAGAAAACCGAAGAGAACACGATTCGATTTTTTTTATGATGGACGAAAGTTTCGGAGGCAGTGTGCAAGCGTGATTGACATAACGTGAGGTCGTATTTATTTTTTAACGTGCGAAAATTTCGGACTCCGTGTGCAAGGGCCTTAACACACACACTATCTATCAATAAAACGGCTCCCGTTGTCTTTCTGCTCCCTGGCTAAAAATCCTCGTGCTCTTTAACCTGGCGCTTTTTTAAATGTTTGACTGCGTTCGTTGTGTGTTGACCGACGCGAGTGTTTCCACACAGCGGACATAATGCTGCTCAATGCTTTCCTGCTAGCTGGCTACAAACTGTGGAATGGATTTCCTGAGCGGAGGCGTGCCTCATAACTCTGTGTCTCATTGAGCCGCGCCTCCGTTCAGGAAATCCATTCCACAGTTTGCAGCAGGCTAGCCGGCGGGAATCACTTTTGGAGTCATTTCAGCAGACAACGTTAAAGCGCAGACATGGCTCATGGATATCGGAAATCTCTGCAGTTTGGATCGGTAAAATCCGATACGTGAATTACGCTGGTATCGGTCCTGATACCGATACTGGATCGGATCGGCCCCATCCCTAACTGATTCTTCACATGCTCGTCTTTGGGCAGTGAAAAAAAACTGGCTTTACCTTCACATTGTAGAGCACAGCATCTTCTCGACATGATGCTGTCCAGTATCCACATGAATCAGCTGCAGTGTTTGAGGTTCAAGTTTTCCCTGGTGTCTGCGCGCAGTACGTGGGCGGGCAATATGCTAATGTTTAGTCTTGACGTCACAACGAAACGGCTTATGACTTGTTTGAAAAACGATTCATTTAATTGACTCAGAGTCGACTCTTACTTTTGAAAGACAATAACTTAATATACGGTGTACTTTCAGATTTAAAACTTTGCAGGGTGTTTTCATTCCCTTAGAGCTATCTTACGCACTACATGAAAGGTCATTTTCAAAAATCCATAATAGGGGCCCTTTAAGGACATGTCGTAGTATGTGTCAGTTGCGTCGCTTCACTGCCATTCACAAATCCTCTCCTGTGGCCTCATGGGATAGTAAAGTGTCCATCGTATGCACACTTCAGAATCTCCCCAGAAGTAGTAGGGCATTCGAGTACTTTTTGAGTATTGTGAATGCGAACGTACTACTTTTTTTCGCCTACTATATAGTAGGGAAGTATGTGCTTTCGAGTGCAGTCTCTGTTTTTTTTCTGCAGTGTCACTCTAGTTAGCCCTACCCAGTGAAATCTCACTGGTCAAATCCTGTTTGCAGATTCTGTGTGGGCATAATGATATAGTTAAGATTTAAAATACGCTGTTTGAAGTGTCAGTTTGTGCACTTGTACAGTGCATGTGTTCCTGTGTCTGCGAGCCATTCACAGCAGAGACACTGACTGACAGCAACACTCACAGTGATAGACGTGCACTGCGATGAGATCGTCAGTGGGAAGCTCTGGAGCCAGTGTGGTGGGTGTCAACTACACTCATATCGACACACTGACACAACTCATTCCCCACTGTAACTGTAAGGAAACCCACCATGGTGACAGCCGAGTGAACACATGCTGATGCTGAGATACTGGAAAAGACACACCACAGACTCTTACACTGCAACGCAAAATGACTCCAACCACTGTAAACATGTAAACTCTTCTATGTCTAACAGAGTGTTCTAGGCGATGTCACGTGTTTTTTAGGCCAAAACATTTTTTGTCACATACAGCAGACATCTCACTATCCGCTAGCTGCCTGTCCCCTGAACACACTGTAAAAAAACACGGTTTCTGTAGACACCCCAGGTTTCACAAACGGCAACAAAAACAAACTGGGCCAACCCGCACCACGAAACATAACAAACAGTTCCAGCCAATAAGCGACAAGAAGGGTTTGGGGGGTTAGTGCGCGGATGAGGAGGAGGGAGGGTCGAACTAGCCTCCGTTTTGTTTGACAATACTTCGAACGTCAACAAGAAGTGACGTCACCCAACACACCCAAGTTTTTAAAAAAAAACGACTAAATTTAGATTTTATATAGGCCTGTGCAATACGACCAACAGCTTATTTCAAGATACAAATATATATCGCTAGATACAGTGGACAGTAGTAATTGTGTTTTCACTTTATTTTGATGGGCCATTTAACACATTCTTTTGGGGATAAGCAACGTTGCACCTGTATTGTATACTGATTGTGTTCATCACTGTCTCCTCTCCACCAGTAAGCTGGTGTGTGGTGGCGTTCTGGCGCGAAATGGCTGCCGTCGCATCATCCAGGTGGATGCCGCACATTGGTGGTGGTTGAGGAGATTCCCCCTTCCATGTAAAGCGCTTTGAGTACCCAGAAAAGCGCTACATAAATGTAACAAATTATTATTATTATTATTATTACCTACAGTACATGTCTACTACTGTAACTCTCATTAGAGTGTTAGTCGATTATTAGTAGACTGTTAGGGTTAGAATAAGTTGACATGTAGTTGCTTATAGCCAGTAGAATGTCTGTTGGAGGAGCATCACAATAAAGAGCTGGCAGACAGTAAAGGAATAGTTCACTTCAAAATTAAATTTAGTTGTTT